GGAAGGGAAGGGAAGGGAAGGGAAGGGAAGGGAAGGGAAGGGAAGGGGAAAAGAGCAGCAGTTTTTGCATATGATCATTTTTGAAGGCTTATTGCTCGACCTCATAAAGCAAAACTGAGAATATGTATTTCTTGATCACCCTGATTTTTTTGTTCAAGATTATTTATGTCAGCTCCAGGCCAACTACAGCCTCTGGCGTGGTGACCCAAATGGTTTTTAGAGGAAAAAGAGAACACACTTAACAGACAGAGAAGCTTAACAGTATATAAGCAAGATGAAATGGAAAGTATAGCAAACTGTCATGAGAAGAAGAATGAAAACCATCAAATTGTTTTTCACAACTATGTGCAATTGACTGCTGCTTATGTATATGATGAACCAGCAAGACAACCTGCAGTCTGCCTAGTTTTTCACCACAGAAGTAAAAAGTCTAAAAATCTTTGTTTGAATGCATCCTGGTAAGTAAAGCTAATCAAATTTCTATAACAATAAAGGAATATCTAGCACATTTAGCATATGCAGACAAGTTACTCTGATTGGTATTTTTCTGTCTACCCTATTGTTTCATTCAATTAAGAACTCTTTTCATGCTATTTTAAGATGGTACATAAACACGGTATCAGCGTATCACATGAATATCTGCCACTTTATTCATGCTTGCCAACAAAGTCGTGCTCCTTGCAAAGGAGCAGAAGTTACTAGTTTGTTTGATGAGAACTACTCATTCTTTTCTTTTCATGAGTACTAACTAAAATATTGCTGTGTCTGTTGCACAGCAGTGCCTGAATCCCTGCCTTGGTCTGGTGCCTCTCAAATACCTATGAGAACTCAAAGGCTGTGTCAAGGGAGGAAGCATTAAACTTTGAGGGGAACATCTGCATCTTGCCTCCTAAAACTAATCAGTGTGGATAAATGCTGACTCTGTAGGCTATAAACTGAAATAGAGACATTCATTTAAATTCCTGTAATTGAATTTTTTTTCTATATTTGTTTGCAACAAGTGCGTTTTGAAAGATATGTATGTACCACTTTTTGCAGGCGCCACAGTGCTTCAAGCCAACCTTCAATTTTGTTAAAAAAATATCTGTTTCAGACCTTTAATTTTTCATCTGATGAGATATTTCTTGTGGATTTTAAGAAGGCTGGAACTGCATGTGTTAGAAGTTGTAACTTTGGACTTACTTTTCAGTGTTTGTTCAAACTGCATAGCATGCAATACTGACCTGTTCTGTCCAGTCAGGTTTCTTGGCCTCGAATTCTCTTGTATCAGTTTAAAAATGCAACCAAGTATGTTCATTTAAAACACTTTCACAGTAATTGCAATAAGGCCAAGAACTATTTGAGAGCTAGAAGCCACAGCGCAGTTAATGAGGCTTTCTGGGAAAATACTTGTTACTGCTGTAGCAGCTCTTTCACAGAGGTCATGGCATGGAGCCAGGGGAGGTTGGTAGACAACTAGGCAACCAGAAAAGAACAAGTGTGTCAGCATGTACAGCTGATTACTGTGAGAATGATTTTCCATAAGCATAGCCTGCACAGTGTTTGTTTCAGAGGGCTTTAATTTTGCTCTCAACTTGCTAGCAACTAAGTTCTTTTTAACTGTGGTAAAAAGTCATTTGTTCAAATTAGAAGGAATAAGTCAGTATCATTTTTAATAATACCACATCGCAGTTGGCTTTTGTTTTGATTTCTGTTAGCTACAGTGATCATTTCTAAATTGTCTCAAAACTAGAAAATATGAGAAATCTTACCCTAAGTGTGAGAGAAGAAGGCAGCCTTTAGTCACTACATTTTCCTGCTTGTGAATGCCAGCTGGATTCCAGTGTATAATCATAAGAAATAAGAACACTTTCTTTTCTAGGTTTGTGGTTACAACTACAGCATAACTCAGTTGGGTCAGTTCTGTGGTGCTCTATCACCCATAATGTCTAACCAAGTATTCCTGAATCTCAGTGTCCAAAGCAGGTGTGTGTTTGGCTGCTGCATTGTGTCTGTGCTTCCTTCTCCGGCTACATTTGCATGCAAGGTCAGGGTTGAAAGAGTGCATTGCACAGATCTGTTTATGGAGGTGTCTTTCATGCTAATCCCTTGTTAGCTAGTTGCCTAAGGTATAAAGTAGACTGACTGGAATAAATGCATGAACTGTAAACCTTCAAAAGAAAAGACAAAATCAATTCATACTTACACTGAAAAATGTTTCTGACAAAATGATGATACATTCAGTTTTTAGTATTGTTCTTGAATATATAGAATATTTGCCAAAATCTCTATAATCACCTGTGTTTTATTTCAGAAGTGCTGCAATCCATAACCTGAAGCCTGTTTAATTTTGCAACATGAGCTATCTTTATTTTTTGTCTTCATGTATGAGGATAATCTGAACATCAGACAGAAAGAACACCTTGGCTTTGAGGATGAGTTATATTTATATGTATGAGTTATATATAAATTTGGTAGGAAGAAGTGCTGTGGTTAAGTGTCTCAGCTGAGGAAAGCAAGCATGGTGCAGAACTATCAGCATGGAGACTTGGGTAGGCAAATGCAAGCCGTGTGGACTTCAAAGGGAGAGATTGCTGCTAAAGCCAGGCAGGTGTTATTACACTTGTAAAGGCCTTAATGTACCTGACTGGAAATAATGCATATGATTCTGTCTGCCCGTTTTCAAGAAGATGAATTTTGTAGCTGAGAATGTGCTCTATCAAATAGTCTTATCATATTCTTTGTAGCTGTTGTAGTTTCCATGGATATAAATAGGAGGCATTACTTTTGGAGTGATATACTCATGTATCTATCCTATGGATACATGTAATTATTAAATGATGCACACTGACTGCATCCTTGTATGTTAGATGAGAGACTTTATGAGAAATATCTCAGGGAAGAAATGCCTTCCTGAAAGAAAAGGCAGCATTGGTTCAAACGAAAATGTTTAGAAATTAATACTGAAAACATGTAGACAAAAATGTATAGATTCCTAATTGTGAGGACAGTCTGTACCATTTCTCCAGCAGGGTTAAGTGGGTGCAAAAGAAGGAAACCACCTTTTACCTGGAGCTCGAGACATTAATCAAAGGGATTCTATAGAGTTGCCTTTAACACCGTAGGATGGGACTCAGTAATTCAGAAAATCTCTTTACATTTTCTGTTCTTA